TTGTTTGTTTTTTCATTTCTGAATGGTCTTGCGCAGTTTGTTTGCTTTCTGCTTTGCTTTTTTTGCATTTCCAAAGGGTCTTGCACAGTTTGTATGCTTTTCACCCCCCCCCCTTAGGCCGGAACGGATTAATCGCATTTCCGATGGGTCTTGCAATGTTTTTTGTGGAGTTTTTTGGTTATTTTTTTCTTTGGCTGGAATGGATTAATTGCATTTCAATGCATTCCTATAGAAAATGGTGCTTCGACTTATGGCCATTTTGAATTATGACAGGAGTTCTGGAACCAATTCAGTTCATAAGTCGAGGCACCACAGTATAGGATTCAAGACTACTTTGAAATACTGTAGTTGTTCACTACAGGAATCTCCTTCAGATGGTTTGAATACTGGGCCAGCACTGCTTTGAAGGCACTTATGAAGTCCCCCCCCCCTTTTTTTTAAATGCTGGGAAAATTTTACACACTTTGACCTGTCTGCATTTAACACACTCAGAAGAAAGAGGAGCTGAAATTGTCAGGGTGCAGTTGGACTCTCTTCATATATTCATTAGGAGAAAAAGAGGCAAATTTACTAAGGCCTCACATTCTTCTAATAAAATCTAATCATGGAGGGAAATGATGAATAATGTGGCATATTTCTGGCACCAGAATATGTCCCTGTTTAGGAATATATTAATTGGTTTTCAAGTTAAAATGGCATTGCTGCACTTGCAGGAGGCATTCAGTTCAGCAGATAAATTCATCTGATTAGTCTGTTCTTCAGCATGATCCGTACAGGCCCCATGCTGATCAGATTATTTTTAGATTAGAACTAGGTCTGTTACCAAACTAAATGAATTTTGTAAATTGACCTGACTAACATTAATCCATCACATCTCTACATTTTCATATCATTCTGACAATAATGCAGAAAGGGAGAAAACATTATTTTGTTTTATGTAGAGTGAGGAATCACTGGTCACCCAGGTATTTTTCACAGTGTTTCCCGCACTGTCTCTTATCAGAGAGACTAGATGCTGGATGGACTTTTTGAATTTGACATCCAAAACATCTGGAGGGCCAGTTCCCCACCCCTTTTTCAGACTTGTGTGCTTTTGTCTGGCAGCTGGCACCATCCCAGAGATGTTGCTTTTGATATGAGAATGGATTGGGTTTGACATTTCAAAGATTGCATCAGTCTTCTACAGTTTTTTACAGTCGTTTAAAAATCAGTCAAGGTTGTATGTCTACGTATTCCTTCGATTTTTAGTTTATTAAAGTTGTAATCTTCTAGAAGTAAAGCCCATTTTGTTCAATAGTGTCACTTCTGTGTAGAGGTGTATAGGATTACATTGCAAATAAATTAATCTAATTGTCAATTGTGTTTGTGTAGGCTACAGTGCCTGAAATACATTTAAATGAAAAGTTTATATCTTTTTTTTTTGTTAGGAAAATAATCCCCAAGGCACTTTTTAATATATAGAGTTAAATACAGAGCTACTAACTTGTCTCATCATGGTTGGCCAGCTAAGAACGATGCGGATGTAACATGATATTGAAGATTTTCCCTAGATATTCTATTTCCAATGACCATAAGGGAAATATTCCTTTCCATAGGAAGTTGGTGCCAGGTGGATCATAGGCAGTACCCTTCTTCATCATGCATAAAAGAAAATGATCATGCAGGAACCATATAGTACGCATAGGATCTTTAGAAGAAAATGTCAGTAAAGGGTGTCAATGGGATGTCCCCACACACCAGCAAATGCTAGCTTCAGAACAACTGTGGCAGGGAGAAGATGGTTAAATTCCCTTCTACAACTGCTTTGATCTTACTAATTATTCCTCCCCTCTGTGCCCTTTGTGTGTGTTTTTTAAAAAATCTAGTGCTCAGATGGAAGTAAACATTTAGCGTTAACATCCATATAATTTGACTCTAATCTACTACTGTCAAACTCAATTCTGTAGGATTTTGTATGGAGCTTTTACTAGTCCTTCTAACTAGAGATGACTTCTTATCAAGTCTCAGTAACAAAAAGAACAGCAACATAGATTATTACTGAGCTGTAGAATAAATAAATAAATAAATAAATAAATAGGTAATGGCCACGGAATCTTTGACAGATGTATTAATCCGGTTTTTCCCAACGTAACCATCGTTCACTCTCCCTAGGAACAATAGAGGTCACAGTCGAATACATCTGAAGGGAACCAGATTGGGAAAAGCTATGTTACCATCTGAAATCAGCATTCATTTGAATAAGATATGAAGAGACATGATTATAGCTGGCATCACAATAGACTTTATAATGGCCATGTTTAATATTGCAACAAATAAGCGCATCATCAGCCACAAATCTTTTTTCCCCATCCCCAGCTGCACTAGGCTTATTATTTCTTGGTAGGATTACTAATGTAACACAGACTGCAAATAATTATGTTGTAGAACTTGGCTGTTTTGCAGTGTGCAATGTTCCTGAATAACAAAAGTAAGCATTGATTTATCATATTAAAAGAACAGTCAATGAATTCAAGCTGTATGTGGGTGTGGGTGTGTTCCCCCACTCCAAAATACTTTGGTAAAGTTTGAGGAAATTATAAGCCCGAACTGACACAGTCCAAGTGGGTTGCTGCAGTGTGCAAGACTTACTATCTTATTTACATGAGTATTTTTTTTAGTTTAGAGTTCAGAAGGTTAAAGTGCTTTCAGTTGCTCTGCTGCACAATAGAAATAGTATCATTGCAATGGAACATTAATTTTTAGTTTGCCTCCAGTGTATAAACTAAATTGAACATAGTGATTTGCTGGACGCGCTTGAATACAGTCTGCAGTTCTTGTTTTAACCTATTCAGCCCTAAAATTCAAGACACAAACAACTAGACACCACTGTGATATCCTTGAAGATTTTCTTTGTCTTCCTGTTTCTCTGCATAAATTGATTGATTGATTGCATTTGTGGATAATAATCCTGAGTTTTTAGTTCCTTGCCTTTTTAAAAAACAAATCAGCCCAGTTCATGTGATCAATGTGTTACGGAAAATTCTGCATGGTTATTTTTATCTCCATGTTTGCTGTTGATGTGCAGAGAAGTCTTTTTAACTTATATTGACTCTGTGAATCAGTGACTTCCAAAAGCTCCTATCATCTAAAGTTCTTCTCAGCTGTTGCAAATTCAAGCTGTGTAAATAGGAAGACTAAATAAGAGGTGCAGTGACTCAGTAAAGGAATTTACTGAGTCACTGCACCTCTTATTTGGTCTTCTTATTTTTCTAGTCCCTTCGACTTTATTGCCTTTTCAAGTGAGTACTGTTTTCTCATGATGTACCCAAAGTACATTAACTAGGGAGAGTTTATTTCATTCTAGAACTCATCTGGTAGTATATGGTATCTGTTAAGCTCTCCATCAACACTCTATTTCAAATAAATCATTTTCCTGTTAGCTTTCTCCACTGTACATCCTTCATATCTATATATATAGTAATCTGAATACAATAGCATAGAGGATGTTCAGTGACATATGCTTGCACCTGAGAATATTTTCTAGTTTTTTCACATAGCTGCCCCTCAGTCTCCATTTTCTAATTTCTTGGCTGCAGTCTTCATTTGGATTTGATAATTTAACCAAGATATTAAAAATCTTTTAAAATTTTAATTTCTTCATTGTCAACATTAAAGCTGTGTATGTCTTTTATGGACATGATTTTTGTTGTCTTAATGGTCAACTATGGTGCTTCGTTTGTATTTTCTTCTTTCATTGTCATCAGGAGTCCTTTCAAGTCACTGCTGCCTTTAGCCTATACAGTACTGTATATAGATGACTGATATTTCTTTCACCTATTTTCACTCCTCCATCAGATATAATACACTCTTGTCTGACACTTTTGCTTATGGGAAAGCATTCTGGTTTTGCATATTCTGTCATAACAGTAGCATTTTGTCCAGAGTGTAAGTCACACAGGAGGACAATCTAGTGTTGCGACGTGCCTGTTTCTTTTTGAACTAGCCATAGCTTTTAATGATCTACGTAGTCAACAGTTTTGTTGTAATATATAACGCACAAAATTGTTTTCTTCTAAAATTCACTAAAATTCAGTCCAGTACCCAACATAACAAAGACTCCCCACACAGCATTCCGAGGCTCCCAAATGTTTTCTGAAGGCAAAATGGAGCCCTAGGGAGCCTCAGAACCTGAAAGAGGAAGATAGGAAACTTTCCATGAGCTTGCATTAATTATTTCCAGCTCCTGATCCAGGTTGCATTCGGGCAAAGTTATGCCAACAGGATTTTGCCTGCTGAATAGTAAAAGGGTGTTGTCTTTTGAAAATATTAGAACTTAATTCTCAAATAAATCTTTTCTCCTTTAGTGGGACTATTATAGCAGTTGGAGTTTCCATTTTCATCTTATTTATCGTGACCATTGTCGTCTGCTTCACCTGTTCATGTTGCTGCTTATATAATGCATGCCGGAGGTCACCACGGCGTAAGTACCACCTATAGTTTACCTTTTTGCAGTGTTCCCCTGGAAAGATAAATGTCATCAAACCTAAAAGAGAAAAAAATATATCCAATGGCAAGATACTTTTCCATGGATTACATGATAATGTTTCTTCCTTTTTTGCTTTCCTCCCTGACTCTGTTTTTGTGGTTTTTTGCAGCTGTTGTGACCACAACTTCATCCACTACGGTTGTGCAGGTGCCATATCCTCAGCAGCCAGGTGTCCCTGCAGCTTATCCTGTGGGAGGATATCAAGGATATAATCCTCTGCCAGTGCAGCCCCAGCCTGGAATACCCGCAGCCCCATACCCAACACAGTATCCTCCACCTTACGTTGCACAACCCTCAGGGCCACCAGCCTATCATGAAACAATGGCAGGTAAGACACTGGGCTCTTCTAGAAGAGAGCATCTGAAACCATTGATTTTCTTTCTTTGTGTTGCTTAGAAATTGTTCGATTGCCGTTATGCAAGCCCCCCTTCTTATAGAAGCTCTCTTGGCACTCACAGCAGTCTTCCTCTTGCAAATATGCTCAGAGAAAAACGAAATAGATTGTGCAATGAGTGCCTGTCTATGTAATTAATGTAAGTGGAAAGGTCTTCTGTGGTCATGATAAGTATACATTTCTCTCTTCAGAAATACTGGGGTTAGGAATGTCAGACTCCTATGTAGTTCAGAATCCATGTATAACATCCATCAACCACAATTCCCCACACACACACACACGCGTGTATACACTCCTCTGCCAGAGACAGGTGTTTGTGCTCACGTCCAACTCCAGTGGCAGCACCAAGTGGGAACAAGTGCATCTTCCATCTGTTGCAATGCATCTAACAAAACACACACACAAAGCATGCACAAGCAGTGGAAATGGGGCACTCTGTGTGCATGTGTCAATTTTGAACTGATTTCTTTTCTTCTTCCTTCTCCTCACTTTGCTTTGAATCACCCCGCCTGCCCCTTTCCAGTGCAAGAGGGGGTTGCTGGCTGCCACGTGGAGCTGCCATGCCAGGAGATGGGAGGAAAAAAACCACATATAACCAAAACCATGCTCCTTGGAGCCGTGCAATCCAAGAAATAAGTGTAGCATTATTATTGTTAATATATATGATCTGTTAGCCTCTAGTCTCTGTGTGCCCCTGTGTCACCCTGGTACTGTGTGTTGAAATAATGCTGTACACAAGCCACACTGCCTTTGGCTAGTGCTTAGGAGACTGTTGGCTTTAAATACATATAGAATAGGATCCTCTTGCCCAGGCTAGTGATTCTTCCAAGAGCATGGCAGGTGGTGCCACATTGAAATAGGCCAGAATATTATGAAATAAGCCTGGAAAAAAGTGTATGTTTAAAGTGTTATCTTGTTTTACAGCTGGTGCTGGAGCTCCCACAACTCAGCCACCTTATAATCCTGCATATATGGATCCTACGAAGCATTCTTATTAAATGGACTGACTCGCGTGTCTCTTTGTAACAGAGTCTTATCACATTACTTTCTTTAAATACCGCTCTTGTCTTTTGCTGGAAAGGTTTGAAAACCCAGACACAACGGGTTCTGCCCATGCCTTCATTACTACAAGGGGTGGGAAAAGCATCCTTGATGTGGATTTGTTTTTCTTTACTTCAGGGAATTAAGCTAGTTGAAAATTGGAAAATAAAATAAAATAGCAAAGGCTGAAGAAACTGCTTTACCACAGGGATCATGGATAAGTTGTACAAATTTTTGATGGTTATTAGAATTGTTATGATGAGGCAAGTAGTAACAAGCATCTTCTGCCATAAATTTGCCAGGAATTGTTACTCTTTAGAAAATGGGAAGAATACATTTCAAAAAAAAAATCTAAAATTGGAGATTCTGCTTCCAGTTTACTATTTTGACATGAGATTTATTATATTCATAAATGAGGGAAATACTCTTAGGTTGAATGTTGTTCAGTCTTTAGCAAGAAGTACTGCAAGTTGTTGAATTACATTTCAGTATTTATCCATTGTGCTGCAGTCATATAAGCATTCAGTTCACCTGTAGTTTCTCCATTTTAATTTCAACCTTGCTCATTTTTTCAGTATTTCATAGTATCCAAGAGAGAGAGAGAGAGAGTATCCATGCTACCACTGCATAGGTACTGTTGAACGAGTAATCTTAATTAGTGCAACAGAATGTGAAAGTGACTTAGGTATTTCCAGTAGAAGATAAAGTGTAAATAAGTATTTTTATATTATTTTCATGTTGTGATATGAGAGTTCTGTCTAGTGCTAGCTAGCCAGTGAACGATATCCTCCTTGGGGCTATTATAAGCATTTTAGTCCTGCCCATGTTTTGGTTTTCCATTTGTTGTATTCCAGCAAACACTCAGCATTCCACAAGGAATATGTCCTGTTGTCATTGAGCTATTTGGGTGCATGTGTATGGTGACCCTTTTTTGTTCTGCAACCTTTAGGGTAAACCACCCTCTAGTTTCTTCAGAGGCCTTGGTTTGTTTCTGGACCACCTCAATTTTCTTGTTAGATGAAGGGATTGTATCTCTTGCATTGGGTGCTGTTTCAAAATAGTTGTCTTTTTCTTCATCTACAAGATAATATTGCAGGCTGTTTCTGCCCATTCCCTTGAATTCTTCAGCAAGTAACCATGAACATTAATTGGAGCTCTGTCCTGTAATATTAAAATTATACTTGATACATGCAATGACCTTCATAGAAAATATAGAAACATTAAATGTGCTGTCTCAACAGTTGTGCATGGGAAGACTCTCTGAACAATAATCATATCAGACTTAAAATAACACCTACCCATTAATCAATAATATGTTATTATATTAACTGTAAGTGGGAACCTTGACTAATGGAAAGAATAGAATTGTTCTCATGAAAATAAGCAAATTCTGATGTGTCTGTAAAACTGTAGCTTTGGTTACCGTGGTGCTTGCAGTACTTCAGAATGGGAATGCCAACAAAATTGTAGTATGAATGTATGAAATTGGAATTTGCAAAGCAAACTTAAACATTTAGTTTGAAAAAAATGTTTTGCTATCTATGAGTTTAAATACTTCCAAAGCACGCTTTTCATCTGGTTTTAAATGGTTTTCAAGTTCTTTAAAAATCTGTACTTGGATCCATGTATACTGTACTTTGTATAGCACTGTTACTATGTTGTATCATATGGCAGGTAAATGAAATTTTCTTCGTGTAATCTGTGTGATACCATTATACTGTATATAAAGGTAAATGACATGTAGCCTCCTAGGTATTTTTACTCTGCCAGGTCATGCAGTTGTACCACTGAAGTTTGGCAGTAAATCCGTGTTGCTGAAATTTATCAGAAAAACTACAAAAAGGTGTTGTTATCTTAAAGGTTTGGGGGTTTGTTTTTTAGGGTTGCCACTAATATTTGGTGGCAAATTGGGATATCACCTTTTAAAAAGCCACTTGAATTTTGAGCACGATTTGCTGATAATTTGGGGAGTTGGGCTGGATGTAGTCAACAGCCTGTCCCATGTGGTATAAAATTGCTTTTGTTGATTTATGTGTTTACTCAGAAATAAGACACACTGAGTTCATTGTGGTCTATGTACCATGGCACCTTAAATAGATTAACAGGAGTCTGAATTCCATACTTGACATTATAGACATGGAAGTCTGTGCTCAGTTGTGTTTGCTCTCTTTTATTTGTCATAATGATGTCTTACAAAAATCTGAACCATGTTTCTGCACTTAAAATATGTAATTTAGGGTATATAATTGTTTGAGGAAGCCTTTTGTCATCCCGTGATTTTCTTGTATACATAGATGTACAGTTTTAGATTCTGTTTAGCACGCACAGTTAACACACAAGAAGAGTATGCAAAACAGAAACTGTGCTTTAAAAAAGCCTACATGAAATCAGGAATGCAGTTGGTATGAACTGAGATAGAGACTGGGCTATAGAATAACAGATTTTCCTCATTGTATCTGTCACAAATTGTTTTGTGTTTCATGGGAGTCTAGTCAGAAAATTTAAGAGTTACAGAGCTGTAAAAGGACGCATACCAGGAACATAACACAACTTATCCTCCACTGTGGCAGACTTCTTTCTTGTGGAAGACGATGATGAAAAGGAGGCATATTGTCCTAGTATATCCCTATTTTAAAAGCCAAACATTTTCATAGCACATTGCTTCTATATAGTTGTGAGAGATGGTAGTCTTGGCATTTTTTCTACAGGAATAACTTTTTTTTAAATGCTGTTACTGAGACTTTTGTGAATCCTTTCAAGTCTCTAGAATGTATATTGCATTTTTGTACTTGGGATGTTACTTGTAAAATGACTAAGGCCACAATCCACACTTACCTGAGAATAAGCCCTACTGAGATTTATTTCTGAGTACACACGTATAGGACTGTACTGTAAATTTTGTTGTGTGGGCATCTTTTTTTTCTTATAAAGCTGCAGTACCTTATCTGTACATCTAGGGTATTTAATATAAAGTGAAAAATTTCTAAAATTTAAGGTAGCATACATTTCCATCATATTTGAAATGATAAATGTGGAGAGAAGATCCATGATGGAATCAGATATGGTATTTCTTGTTGACATAGGCATCATGGTATACTAACCTATGCTTTGCTTTCTTGGCATCAAATAGAACTGAACTACCAAATGATTCCATGAAAAAAACTTCATGAAAAGCATCAGTGGAACTTATTTCAGCAAGGTTTAAATTGTACCATTGTACCTGAAACCTTAGCTATACCCCTACACAAAATTACTGCACCGCATAGTTTGCAGAATTACACTGAAATCACTGTGCCCCTGTAATGATCCAGTTGGGTGGTATCTCTTGTGGCCTTCTTACTTACCTTGACTTTGCCCTTCATTTCCAGTTCTATGTAGAGGAATTGAAGACTGGCACCTCTTACAAGTAATGTACCTCATGGCCTATGAAATCATAATTCATATGGATATGATACTTAGGGAGAATAAATATTAATACAGGCCTAATGATAGAACTTCTCTGATAGGATTTGCTTTTTTATAGAAGATTTTTTTTCCTCTTGGCAGTCCTACTGTTACATATGAGATGTGTTTAGAGCAATGGTGTTTATATGCAAGTATAAGCAGGAAGGATGGTGACTAGTTACAAATTCTTCATGTGTCTGCTATATATAGCAATTCAGAATGTCAGTTATCTCCTAAACCAATTCCATGGTTTGCCCTATGGTCACTTCAGAAATGGAGAAATTACTGATACAGTTCAGTTTTTATATGTTTGTCCAAAAACAGTCACATCCCTCATGACAAGTTATAATGGCTACTTTATTGAAAAACAAAAGAAATCTAATTTTGGATTTAAATTGTAGATGTTCCGTTTTTATTTTTGTATTGTGAACATTGGAAGTGCCTTTTACAGACTTTTCTAACTGCATTAGTAATAGAATCAGTGTTCTCATTTCCACGTACCATGCAATTTCAGTTGACTGTGTTGGCTTTGTTTTTTTGATAATTGTGCTTTGTATACTGTTGCTCATAGTTAAAAAAGATTTATCCAAAAGTACTGGTATGTTTGCAGCTCTTTGTAATAAAACATTAAAATGCACACTCATTTTATGTGATCAGTTGAATTATATCAAAATTAAAACAATGTTTATGTTATTGTACATAACAGACATTAGTCCTGGCCAAAAGAAAGTTGATTCCATAAATTGCAGTGGGACTCTAAGGCTTTTCTAGATTAGAGCTTTGGACATGCAGTTGGTGGTGACAGAGTCTTAAGATCAATACCTGCTAGTATTAGGCATTAATGGCCCTTCCTCCATACATTGTAAATGTGGTCTTACTTGTCACTAAAACCACCAGCTTTAAAGTTTTAAAACACTTTCCATGAACTAAGTTTTCAGCACACTTAATAAAACTGGAAGGCATTAGTTTCTTCATGTGCTGAGAACAGCTGTATCTTTCTAAATACTGAATGGCATCTGGTTCATGCATTGCTACATATTTTTAAATCTATTCAAGATGCACTATTAAAACTCTGGAGATCTGGTGCATAGTTTATGTCATGCAAAGCTCAAGTATTCTCATGGCTATGTCCTTCCATGCTACTTATTTTCTAATGAGACAACTGGGATTTGGAATGTCTTAATGATGGAGCCATAATAATGGAGAGATTGATATCGAAGTGTTTTACAAGTAAAATGAGCCCCAAAATTCTGGTGATATTGGGCAGAATCCAGTACTGTCACTGTGATAATGGAGCTATTTCTGTAAGAGGTAGGAGGTAATTCTGCACACCACCACCATGGGATTTCCCATAAATTTGTCTACCACCTACATGTAGAGATCTACTTTAGTGTGTTGGTTTGACTTACATTTAGTAAGCAAGTCTTTAAAGAGAGTCATTTAAGTTTATGTGGCATGTAAATAATCTGTAAATATTTTCCAGACGTTTAAGGAGAAAAAATTCAAGCTGTTCAAACATTAATTCCAGAAGGCCTGAAAAGCCACATGTATAAATAAACAGATTTTACAGAGGTTGTCCCCTGGAGAAAGTTCCTTATAATTTTTATGCCCCCAAATATCTGGTATTCTGTCCATTCCAGCTGCCCAGTTTATCATGTGTCATTGAAAATACTACCAGTTACAGATTATTTTCATGAAATAATTTATCAAAGTGGGGAAAAAAATTACCTGACAACATTGTCTGCAAATGAGCTGTGGACATTTTAGTGTGATTGCTGAAATGCCAGAAAACTAAAAATTATCACAAGAACTTCAAAGAAACCAAAAGAGCTGCTGTTTCTTTTCCTCTGGAAAGATACCTTCATAATTTTTAATAAGGCGACATCCAGAGAGCACTGTGCTGTGAGCTGCTCACCTTCTTGGGGTTTTGAAGACACCGAATCTGGACCGACTGCATAGTTATCACTGATGATTCAATGACTTCTCTTGTGAAAAGATAGGACAGCCATGTTCTCTAACATTGCACCACCAACAGCTGGAGGAAGATATGCTTCTCTTCATTGTGAAAAATACAGATTTCCCAATATTTTGAAGGAGAAGAGTGCATCTTTCTATATGGCTGGAAAGATTAGGTTCTGTGGTTTCCCCTTTCCTTTCTTCACACTTGAGTAAACAACAGCAATTTGCAGAGGCAGATACGGGTAGACCTGCTGAAAACATTACATCAGTGCAGAGGTGGTGGTGGGGTGATGGGACGGCTAACCTTTTTCCTGCCACCTGCTTTTCCCCTACACATTTCTTCTCCTCAACTACTATTCTAGATGAAGATCCAAGGATGAACTGTATTTACTTCACAAACTTGGATCTTGAACTCAATAGAAGAAAAAGACAGGAAGAAATGCCATGGAAAATCTTCACTCCATTGCCAGTTATGTTCTCCTGCAGATGTTTTGCAATGGAGAAACAGCTGGTGGGTGAATGTTATGAGTGGTGGTTTTGTGATGTACAATTTTATTTTCTCATCACTGGCATGCCAGTAAAGAGGCGGCGCCGGCAGCGGAATCGTGAGTAGTCATTTTCTGTACATTTTCTCTTGTTTTCTTCTGACTTTTGGAAAAATGTGTTATGGAAAAAAGATTGGCTAGCTATACAATTGTCTCTTCATTGTGGACAACAGAAACACTCTGGCTGGAACCATTGTTTCTATTGTTTGATCCAGCACAGAATTACCAAGGACAATGGCCAGAAATCTACTGAGACCAATGATGTGTTTCCACTACAGCCAGTGACAATTTGGAGTGGCTGTAGGTGTGAGAAATGTGTTGCAGAGTTTTGAATGTTTAAATTCTTCTAGCTATGCAGCAGAAGTGAAAGGATTCACAAAACAGAATAGCTCCAAATTCCTCAAATTAGTCCATCCATTTTCTCATTAACTGGCACTTACAGTCTCAATAACTCACTGAGAGATTTGTAAGAGAAAGAATAAAATGTTTCAATTACTTATAGTTGAACAGCTTAAACAGCAAATGAACAAACATTACTGTATTGCCTTCAACAAGAGACTTCAAAAGACTTTAAAGCAAAACAAAAGCAATATATATCACCCCTTATAGCTCGTTCTGGGTGGTTTACAATTTTCATTATGCAGGCTATACATTGGTCTCCCAGTAAGCTGGGTACTCAGTTTACCAACCTCAGAAGGATAGAAGGTTGAGTCAACCCTGAGCAGCTACCTGAGCCCGGGAATAAAACCAGGTCATGAGCAGAATCTTCACTGCTGTACCGTAGTTTAACAATTGTGCCATGAGACTCAATTCAGAGGCAGTGAAGGGACGACTGGCAGTCACCCCAGACCAGAAGGATCCCTCCCAGTCAAACCTACTGAAGGTGATGTTGCAAAAACTTCAAGTGAGGGATAGGATTTTTTTTAAAAGCTTGGCAAACTTGTGGTGCTGGAGGAGACTCTTGAGAGTCCCCTGGACTGCAAGGAGAACACACCTATCAATTCTGAAAGAAATCAACCCTGAGTGCTCACTGGAAGGACAGATCCATGAGAAGAGAAGACTCCCTGGAATAGACCCTGATTTGGGGAAAATGTGAAGGCAAGAGGAGAAGGGGGCGGCAGAGGACGAGACAGTTGGACAGTGTCATCAAAGCTACCAACATGACTTTGACCCAACTCCAGGAGGCAGTGGAAGACAGGAGGGCCTGGCGTGCTCTGGTCCATGGGGTCACGAAGAGTCAGACACGACTTAACGACTAAACAACAACAAAACTTGTAGTCATGATTCGGAAAACAGGTAAAATTAGAAAGCTAGGATATTTGCATTGTCCTTTGTGGCTCTTGGTAGGCCTTGTTTTCTCAAGTGAGAAAGTGCCTTGTAGAAATGCGGGTTTAGAAGGACAAATGCTTTCTGCTTACTTATTCCTATGTGGTGGGAGGCAAATCTTTGTTCAGGAATTCTATTGAAAATGTTTGGTAAGCATAAGATACGAAGGATACCCAGTGTGGTGTAGTAGAGTGGCTGACTAGGACCCAAGAGGGCTGGATTTAAATCCCTGCTCAGTCATGGAAACTCACTAGGGTCGTGTGGAGCTGGTAATATCTCACTTACTCTGAAGGCCCTATTAAGGTCAGTATAAGTCGGTTCTGACTTTATGACACATAGACTGGTGTAGTGGGGGGTTCTCCCACCCTACTGCTGTGCCCCACCCCACCAACGCATTCCATCACAAAGCTGGCACTTGACTCGTGCCCCCCAATACCTGCCTTGCCCTGTATGCTGGCAACCCACCCACTATACCACTGGGCATATAACAAATCAGATGTGACCCATTAGTGCATCTTGGGCAACTCTTTCCTTGCATTGTTGTCTGCCTGTATAGATTCTAAAAGCCATTACTGTATCTGCCATAAGGTTTTGATTCTATTACTGGCAGCAGCTCACATGGATATTGTGAAACACTGGAAAGCTAGCTCCAGTTGCACAGTCCAGAGTTATACAGTCCAGGGCTGACCTGACAGAATCTGGCAGAGACACTGGCATATCCCACCAAGGGCCAGGGCCATTTCAGGACAACTTCACTTAAAATGGCTGTCGTTCTGTGATATGTAAACAATGAGGAGCCACCAATAATCCAGAACTCATTTTAGAAAAAAGTGTTGTCATAGATGTTTCAGTGTACATAAGGGAAACAAATTGCTGGCTTACCGTAAACTACGACAGCTGGGACTTTAAATGTCAGAAGAATGAAACAAAGGAAGTTAATAATTGTAAATAAATAAACTGCAAATAAACCGTAAAGAAAGAAATGGGATGCACGAACTGAAACAGACTGGAATAGAATGTTATCAATTTCAGCCATTCTCAGTGGAGGCCACACAGCCCCCCTGGGGGCCCCTGACAGGTCTGAAGCAAGCCACAGACTGGAAACAATTCTTCAAACATCATCTTATAAGGATCATTATGCAACTTATAAAAATTCTGATTTGGCCCATAATTCTTTCATATTGTATTTATGACCTGGGCCAAAAAAAGGTTGAGAGTGGCTGAATTAGATCATCAGAAAGTGTTTTACTCTGAAAGTCATGTACTCAAAAGAAACGAGGTGGCTCTAAAAGCAAAGTATAACATAGCACAAGCAGTGTACCACACGCATATATGATTAATAATAATAACTGCACGCCATCAAGTTGATTCCAACTCATGGCAACCCTTTCCAAGGTTTTCTATGTAGAGAATACTCAGAAGTGGTTTACCATTCCCTTATTTGGGGGCGCCCTGGGACTATGCAGCTTGCCTATGGCTACAAAGGATGCTTCTCTGTAGGCACAGTGGGGAATCAAACTACCAGCTTCTAGCTCCGCAGCCAGATACCTAAACCATTTAGCTATCTGACAAGCATAACATTACAATGCAAATCAATTATTTATGTGATTTTACAATTTTTCAAGAATTCTTCAAGAATCTAAAATTACAGTGGTGCCCCGCATAGCGACGATAATCCGTGCAGCAAAAATTGTCGCTATGCGGATTCGCTATGCAAAATTAAAAAGCCCATAGGAATGCATTGAAACCCCTTCAATGCGTTCCTATGGGCTTAAAACTTACCTTTTAAGCGAAAATCCTCCATATGGTGGCCATTTTAGCTGCCGGGTAAGCGAGGAATCCGTCCCTGTTTTAGGCGAGGGCCATTTTGGAGCCGCCGATCAGCTGGGGAAAAATCATCACTATGCGAAAATTGGTAAGCGAAACAGCTTACCGATCATCGCAAAGCGATTTCCCCCCCATAGGAAACATTGTTATGCGATCGCAAAAGCGATTGCAAATTCTTCATCGCTATGTGGATTCGTCGTTAAACGGGGCACCCGTTATGTGAGGCACCACTGTATATTTTGGCACTAGTATTGTTTTATTGTGCTTTTTAAGTTTTACTCCATTTTTAATATTTACTATTCATTGTTTCTAACATTCATATTTTGCTCCTTGTCCTGGTTTGGTAGAAAGAATACAGCTTCTCCATCTTCTGCTTTCATTTTTATAGTCTATCTGATCTGTGTACTGGCCATCAGATGATTCCATGTGTATAGTTGCTTGTACAGTTCCTTCAAACATGAAGTTTGCTGGCTTCACAGAATTCTGAGTGCCACTATCCTTGCTTCCTTTCGAGTTTCCGTACAAAATCTTCCAATGTTGTTTGATTCTGCTATATTTCCTGCTTTTAATTTCTGTAATTATCAGCCCATCCTGTTTGGTGTGTAATTAATTTTTCAAACTAATTACACACACCAAAGCTTAAGCTTTCAATTTCTTCTTCACTATCTGTAATAAAAACATAGATTTGAATAATAGTTACCATGATAACCTTTCAATGAAGTCTGATCAGTATCAATTGGCCATATATGGTTATATATTTAAAAAATACATGCCTGAAGCAAATGAACAGACATGGAATCACCAGATGGCCACCTTTGCCCTTTCTTTTTTAACATTCATCAGGAGTCGCTTCGCTGCTTTCTTTCAGTACTATAGGACGATCTGCATACCTTAAGCAATCAATGCTTCTTCCACCAATTGTCACTCCTCCTCATTTGAGTGTAACCCAAACTGCTACAAGAGCCTAGCCTCCTAAGGGTATACCATATTTTTCTGTGTATAAAACAACACTTTTTTCCTTAAATAATTGAGAAAATGTTTTGCCAAGGCAGGGTGGTTAGCAAAAAGGGAGCCCTTTGATCCTTGCTTTTTCTAATTTGGGGTTAGAAAAGGGAGGTTGTTGTCTTATACAGTACTTTAGGTTGTCTTATAAACAGAAAAATACAGTACATATATTGTATTCTCGAAGGCTTTCACGGCTGGGTACATATATCCATAAGGATGTTAGTACTGTATATTGAGGGTTCACAGTAGGGTTATGGTTAGAGTTACCTTTGCATTTACCTTTGCATTTCTTGACCTCAGTGGGAATTCCAATGTCCTCGTGAATACTGAGAACCAGAGTACATCAATTTTGCTTCCTAGCATTGTCGTTCACAAAACAAAACAAAACCAGCATGGCACTTTTTGTTTGTTTGTTCCAATACATTACACTGTTGAGGAAGGAAAAAATTAGTCTGATAACAAGATTTAGGCAGTATTTTTAATTAAAAATGTACATGGCAAATAGATCAAACTTGGAGACATTGGTAACATTTCTGGCACCAATGTCACAGAACGCCTCCTTTGCAGGTGCAGCACTGCAAAGATTCTGCAACAAAACATGACGTAGAGAGACTGAAATGTCTCATCTCAAAACTCCTGGTATTGGTGCACAAAACAAAAGAAGAAAGATAGTCACTTTCCTCCACATTTTATTTCTCCCCTTTGCTTTCTTTTATATTTTACAGCTACTGTGACCACAGTCCAAGCCACTACTATGTTGCATGTGCCACTTCCTCACCTGCAGGAGTATATCAAAGGCATGATGGTCTGCCACTGTAACCATGGCTCAGAATGTCAGTAGCATCCTATCTAATTCACTAGAATGCTCAATTCTCTCTAGTAACTCCTGGTGTTTCAAAACCAAGAAACGGAAGCACTCGAACGTGTTCTTCTGTTTCACAACGTGTACACTGGAGTCTGCCTGTCACTTATTGTTCTGCTGCTAACGCGACCTTTCCTATATGTCCAGTCTTATTCCAAATTTGTGCTGCCAGGCAAAAATCATGCAGTACCACTTCATGTTACAGTATGTAAAATGTCACATCTGACTTATAGCTCTGTTGCTAAATTTCTATCACTAGCAATAAGAGTGACAACACAAATTAAGTGGTGCTGGTTGAAAGTTCCCAGGATGTTGTAACAGTATTAACACCCCTAGATCTGTGTATGACTGTTATTGTAACAGTGCGTGGTTGCTTCTGTTTCTCCTGGTGAACTGCACTGGTGTAGTGGAGTCAGCTCTGCAAGAGCCAAAACCTGGGGACTTGGTGATTAGCAGGAACTACAACATCATCAGCCATCCCTGCCAGGCTTTCTTGGTTCCTCTGAGCTAAACTGTAATTTTCAACACTAGTTGGTACAGAAAAGGGTTTTTCCCTGGTCTAGCATATTGTAAGCTATTCCTGCTTGATGCAAAACATTTTGAGGCTGGTGTAGTTTTGAAATCACAGATTTGCTGTTTAGTTTTTGATACAGATTGAGCTGACTGCTTACATTTTTCAACTCACTTTATGAAGTCAAAGGGTAAGCTAAGGGGACTTACAATAAGCACCTGTGCTTTTAAACTTTTTACTGGCCTGTTCACTGTAATAACCTATCCTTTGCTTTACTAGTCCTGGTGTTGTGCTGCCTGCTTCGTACAAATGCCAGCATATTCCAGACCTTACATTTTCTACAGATTTTCATTTTTCTATTTTTACATTCTGCTTTTTGATATTTGTATTGATTAGTTAACAAAAATTAGGCAAAAGCCACTACCTTTACAATGCCAGTTAAAGAAAAAAAACCTGTCAGAATCATGAGTTAAATTCAAATACATACATACAACAGAACTGTGAGTCAATTATATAAGAATGAACGCTGAAAAAAATGTGATTTTGCAGCTTTTAACTTCCTGTGCAATTGTATCTTCCTAGATCACACAGGAGTTTTGAGTGCAATCCACGTAACTATTATTAACCCAAGAAACAAAAGCAACACATTCTTAATTTCATCAGGAAGGTCAGTAATTTTGTTGTGGAGTGGGATAAATTTACTATCCACTAGTTTAGTATCACCAGAATTGAATGAACTGATTGTTACTCCTCTTTGCTGCGGCTGCATCTGTAAGGAACTGGGAAGTATTTGGGGAAAGGAAGTGTACTTCTCGTTTTCTTCATACATGGCTCTAATAGTATTAAAAGGCCTTGCATTTGAATCCATCCAACATATAAGATCTGTGGCACATTGCTGAAAGACACTTATGAGTGTCATGACATCTCCTTCTGCGCTGTGACTGTTCAGAGGATAGACGTTGTAGAACCTATAATATAAATCACGAAGGCTATATTTTTTCTTGCTGCGCAATGGGCTAGCTTGGTACAGAAACTGGTGAAGTTGGTTGTTCTTGCAGTCCAGAGTCTTCATAGCTTTCAGAGTGTCCGCACAATAGATGTCATCAAGGCCTGAGATACCCAGGGCAGAGAGTTCAACTTTCAGCAAAGGGAAGTCATAACCACAGCCATTGTGTGCTACCAAACAGATTGGCGGGGACTGCCGATTGAAAAAGGCTGTAATCATGTGCAAAACATGTATGTTAAAGCTTTGCTTTTTGTTCCAGGCAAGCTCTTCATTACTCAGTCCTGTAATGGAACTTGCTGCTGGGGTGAAGGGCTTACCTGGATTAATGCAGAAACATAGCTTATCTACTAAACGAGGGAAGAGAGGCATTCGTTTAGAATCAAGGTTGTCGTACTGAGGATTCTCGAAAGCATGTCTAGCCACAGCAAAGAGACACAGTTCTGTGATTTTAGGTCGCGAGGGTGGTAAACCAGTTGCCTCTAGGTCCAGAAAGACAAACGTCTCTATTGGTCTGGAGGGAGACTCAGAAGCAGCACACATGTTGAGGCCTAGGTGAAAGAACAATGAAAACTGGAAAAAATGCAGAGAGCATCCATCAAAAGCAGATTCTCAATCCTACTCACTAATATGACTGATAACAAAAATATGTGACATTAATAATTAGAAGTAGGATTAAAAAATACATAGGACAGAAGCATAGCTCTGAACATGTTTGCCCCTGTTAACACCTGCTCTCTACTCTCATATATACATCTTCAGTATACTGTCAAAACATGAGGGGGAGGAATCTGAAGGATAAAATATTGTGGCACTTTAAAAGACTAAAATGGGAGCCTTCAGGGATCAAAATCTACTTCTTCAAACAGAACAAAGGGGAAAAAACATAAGTTCTCATCCCCGCCTCCTTTATTTTGCCAACAAACTGAGACAGACTAATATTTCTCTGGAAACTGCTAAATGCATATACCTTCAGCCACTTTCCAGCTGCTTTAAGCATGCCATACACATGATAAGAGGAAACTCTTTTAGAATGAGTGATTTATTCCACTCATTAGTGTCTGCAGGGATTAGCAGCAGCTCTCCAGGTTTGCAGAAAGTACTCTGTCCCAGTTCTGTCTGTCACCACAAACTACACAATCTTTGCCAAGAAGATATATGGCAATTGGATGGGAAGATAATACCACAATCTCTCTTTACTCTCCGTAATTGTGGTATGAGGTCTCTGTCCCCACTGTTTTATGGATATCACCCACAACCAATTTCTTGCAGTACGATCCCTTCCTTCTGTGTAGGAAGCTGCATTTACAATAACTATGTGATAAATGCATCCAACAATCTTGTGTGTATACACAGCAACACTGACAGAAAAGGAGGCGGCACCCCTCTTCAGTCAGGATTAACTATGTGATAAATGCATCCAACGATGTGTGTACACACAGCAACACTGACAGTAAAGGAGGCGGCACCCCTCTTCAGTCAGGATATTTGGCACTCTTGAAGTGCATGAAGACCAAATATTGCTGCTACATTTGTAAGAGAGGCAGCAATATTCTTAGAATTTCACGTACGATGTAGCAGAAAATACATTTCTTCAAACTATAAATCCACATAGCTGTTCAAACTATGCTGGACTCTGACAGAGATAAGCTTGACCACAGGTCAAGGGAGAATTTTAGATACCCCTGCAAGTGCAGAAGAATGTGGCATGGGCGCTCCACCCACTTGAAGGGCACCCAATTGAGGAACTGGTGACAACAAAGAGCTGGGACCTGCTGTCAGTATGAAAGAAACCACTATGTGAACGCAACCAAACATACATTGCTTCCCCACAAAAGTGGCTCCCTGAGGGTACAGAAAACATGTTGTCAAGCTACTTCCACAGCAGTGATCTTTGAGTTGGCCATACTAGATAGATGACGATCATAGAATGATGGAGCTGGAAGGAGTTATCTAGTCCAACCCTTTGCTCAGTGCAGGAATCTGTATACCTGACAGATGATTGTCTAATTTTCTCTTGAATGCCTTCAGCAATGGAGTGCTCCCCACATCTCGAGGTAATAAGTTCATTGTTGTACTGTTCTAACAGTTAATAAGTTTTTGCTGATATTCAGTTGAGATCTGGCTTCCTGTAACTTGAGCCCTTTATTAAGTGTCCTGCACTCTGGGATGACCAAGAAAAGATCCTGCCCCTCCATTGTATATAGACAACCTGTCAAGTATTTGAAGAGTACTATCCTATCTTCCCTCAGTCTTCTTTTCTCAAGGCTAAACACGCCCAGTTCTTCCCGTCTTTCCTCACAGGCCTTTGTTTCTTGTCCCCCCCCCATCATCCCTGTTCTGGGAGTTGTAATTTTAAAAAAGAAAGAAAAAAGTGCCTTCTCTACATTTCAGAGATAGGGAGAGCATGCGTGTGTTGCCAGTGCCATAACCAGCCATCTGGGCATCTTGGTCAAGAGTGGCACCATCTCCCCTCCACTTCATCCAAGGTATGGTTGTGAAGGAGGAGGAGAATGTCGTGTGTCTCCAAAAGAAAAAAAAGTTATACTTTAAAAAGGGGGGGGGGAGAGAAAGGAAAGTGAATAGGGCTTGGACGTTTTGCTGGTTATCTTCCTACCATTCGTCAGCAAACTCTGCCTTTTGATTTCAGCACCCTATGAAATGGGGTGCCCTGGGGCAAGGCCCACAGTTGCTCCAACCTCGTTACATCACGCAAGTATATCTAAAAAGCCACTTCGCCGTCCCATCCTGGGGTAAGCAGGATTTTACCACACCGTGGGCCCCTGTCTCTTATGACCTCGCCTTACGGAGTGGGCGGGAAGGCCGGCCGCTCCCTCAGAGAAAACAAAGACGGAGTTTTCCCCCTCTTAGGGCTGCCTCCCTCCTCGCCCTCCAAGCGGGAGCCCGCCTCCTCCGGCTGGGCGCTGCCCGGAGAGTGGAAACAAGGCCGGCTCTCTGGGCTCCCTTCCCTTTCCCAGACGGCCGAAACCCGAGGCGGCGACGCGCTGCCCCAGCAGAAGGCTGGAGGCCGGCGATCCTGTGACCGCTTCGAGGCGCCCTCTTCTCTTTGCCTGGGCAAAAAAAAAGAAGCGGGACTGGGCGCGGGGGGGGGAGAGACGGCGGGATTAGGACCTTTTACTCACCCACTCACTTACTTTCTGTGGCCCCAGGCGGGGAAAAAGCACGAGCAGAGATGTGGGCCCAGGGCCCAGCGACTCCCGCTCCTCCCAGGCGTCTTTCTAGCGAGGGCTCGGGTTCCCGCTCTTCTCTCCTCTCCTCCTCCTCACTAGACCCGGAGTGCTGCAACCGTGTGGGTGCGGGTGTGTTCATTTCTTTCACCCGCCCAGCCAGCTGCTCCCTCCGGCTGTTCAGCTCGCTCGCTTCTTGTTTCTGCATCTGCAGTTCGGCATTGGGTCGAGCCACGCCGGCTTCTCCAGGAGGAAATCGAAAGCGTAGCCCCACCGCGCCCAGGCAAAGCCGGATCGCGCCCCTTTGGCCGGGTCATCGCTTGGAAATGCGCGGTGCGCCTTAGAGTAATGCTGGGAGACGCCTCAGAAAGAGGCATCGGCAACAGTAGAAGCTCCTGCCGGTTCCGACACGTCGTTGACGCTCGAATTTTATGTAGAATTTTTTTAGACTTAATGAATACGAGCGATATTTCAATGTGTTGCTCTCTTTGGCATGTCACAGGAAAGCCCAGAAAACGACAACGATGGAGTTCTCCGTCGCACACAGTACAAAACAGTGTATAGATTAAGCTAAGTCTTGATTCACAAAGCAGTACAGTAGAAGCAACTGTCCAACCGCCTCAGTATAAGCAGCCACAGCTGTGTTGATTTTTAATGTCTATACTTTTAGACACAGGACGGAAAATATCTTTCAAGTTGATGGAGGCAGGGCACTAGCTAATGTAAGAGATAGACCTAGCCAGAATGTATGGTGCATACGTGGCACTGCATTTGATATTTAAGCCACACACTTGGAAATCAGTGGGCAAATCTGAAACACAGGCACCCAAAGCGAGTCCAAAATTGTGGAGTCTCAAATGCATAACTTCAGTTTACTGAGGGATTGGTTTTTTTGAACCTAATGCATCTTAATTGCCCGTTCAGTACTTTGTACAGTATTACAATAAAGAGATCCTGGAAGAATCCACACATCCCTCATTGCAATGACGGCAGCGCATATAAGAGTGCCATTGATTTCAAAGTGTTAATGATGACATATAAAGTCCTAAACTGTTTATTTAGGACCTCGATATCTAGCAGAACGCCTCCTCCCACCTAGATCTACCCAAATCACTCATTCTAGGCAGGAAGGGTGGCTGAGGGGCCTGACGCTGAGAGAGGCCCGGAAAGAAAGAACTAGAAACCGGGCCTTCTCGGCAGTGGCCCCTCGACTTTGGAACAGCCTGCCGTCAGAGATCTGCCTGGCACCCTGGCTGGGTGTTTTTAAGAGCCAATTAAAGACTTGGCTCTTTAGGCAGGCCTTCCCACCTGTCAAAACTTGACTTTTATTTCTTACTTAGTCTTATGTTTATATTTTCCCATCATGATTAATACTTTATTGTCGATTTAATTGTTGTTTTAACTGTTTTATGAATAATTTCATTGCAAGCCACCCTGAGTAGACATTGTCTAGAAGGGCGGGATAAAAATACAGTATAATAAATAAATAAGCTACATTGCAGCTTGATTCGCAGTCTCTTTTATATTTGGTTTAGGTGATCACATAAAGCTTTTCAGTTGTTTCAGTGTCCCCACTGGCTCTCAATCTGATGCAATTTGATACATGCCCTTCCTTTGATACCACCCACTTGCTAATTTCCTGGGTCTTCCTTCTCCTCCTCCTCCTCCTCCTCCTCCTCCTCCTCCTCTCTTTTGCAGAAGTGAACTAGTGCTAAACTTAGTTGTTTGTTTTTAAAAACATTTTTAAAAATACTTTGTCAGGACCAGAGAAAAGATTGTGGGGCTGGGTATTCCCACTGTCCCACGACATCACACCCTAGCTTAAGATGTCACCCTAACAACATCCGAGGTCACACACATACCCCATCCTTTTGTAGAATGAAACAAATAATCACACAGAGAGAACAGTTTGAATAATCCATGCCTTTAAAAAAGTAGAAGTCCCTAGAGGTGGGGGGCGGGGACTTTAGGTTAGAAAGAAAAATGGTCTGGGCTGATTCACACTGGCTTTTGTATTGTGTAATAACAGAAAAATGGTTCAAATTCACCCATGTTAATTGTAGACCAAATCCCAAAGTAACTTCGTTACCAATGTAACTGTAGTGAAAGAACAGGGAAACCTGAGTGTGTGTGTGTGTGTGTGTGTACCAGATGTCTTCATAGTCCATGTTAATTTTTAAAAAATCTTGAAATCCACAGGTTAAAGGAGGGATAATAGTGGTTTATTTGTATAACTCACATACCTAGTGCACATCTCAATATATCTGGATTTCACTTATCTGCGCATGCATGTTCTGAGCCTTACTTCCAGATTCAACAGCATTTAATTTGGGAGGATTAACTCCAACAGGAGAAAAATCTTTGAATTTGGAATTAGACAGTGTTAACGTTTATCACTGGGGTATAATCAATGGCAATAAAATTCGCGAAGGCTTTCACGGCCGGGATCTGATGGTTGTTGTGGGTTTTTCGGGCTCTTCAGCCACGTTCTGAAGGTTGTTCTTACTAACGTTTCGCCAGTCTCTGTGGCCGGCATCTTCAGAGAGACCAGAGCCAAAGTGCCCGAAAAACCCACAACCACCAATGGCAATAAAAGTTTACATGCAATGAGGTGGGGAGGGGGAAGGAGGGCAAAAAACTGGATGAATAAAATAACTAAGAATGTAATGGGAATTTTTTTGGCATCATTGCCTTTATATCAACACTGACAATTTGACACAGCTGATCAGGAAAAGGACCACCATGATTTGGAATGAATTCCTTTACAGGAATAGCAGCAGTATGATGTGGATGCAGTACCTCTCGTAGGAAGAGGGGAGTGAGAAATAGCTTACTTGATCAGGTCTGGAAGTTCTGATTACACTTAATTTCCACATTGTAATCACTCACTATTTTACATCAGCCAACTTTGGATTTAACTGTGCTATAATATAGAGGAGCAGCATGTTTCTTACAAAAAGCAACCCCTAATACTCTAATAGAATGACTCCAACTGGGTGAACATCTGAGTACATTAAAAATATATACATTTAGGAGCCGGAGGGGGCAAGGTTCTGTCCCCTCCTCCCACAGACAAATAATGGGAAAAAATGAAAATAAACTTAGGCTGTCTTTATGAAAACACTTAGAATGTACACCTCATTTGCAAAGGTACTAGAAACCAATCGGTAACTCATTCCATTTTTGGGCACAGGCTTGCTATATAAGCATGGCAGAGTCCACACATTTCATTGCGACTCGTGTATACAGACAGGAGTGTATGAAAAGTTACGTAGGAGGTCTACTTTAATTGAGAAGTTATGAAAATCTATTTTTTCAGCCTCTCAAAATCTTCATTGAAGTTTAGACACTGACATCCTTGTGGCTACATTGCTTTACTAATGATGATCCATTTTTTTAGCTTACTTTAGTGAACGACTAAGGAATTTACAGATGTTCCGTTGCATTAAAGCGATATGGGTTATATGCTTTTATCTGTTTGAAGTAGAATTCTAAGGCTATTTGTTCTCACACTAGAGTTTTAGAACAATTAACTGGGAAAATGAGAAATAAAACAGGCAACATAGTAGCAAATGAGCACCTATAATTCACATGGGTATAATCTTGTCAACCAGGCTCCAGTAGCAATGTTTTTCAATTTTAATTAGAACTATATTAAACATCAATAAAACTGATCTTACTACAAGGTGCTTGCTCATAGCAGTAATTAAAATATACATGTAAGGTCCTGTTCTCAGTGACTCAGTTCCTAGCTCAGCATATTACTGGGAAAATGTAACACTCTTAATCCCTACAGATATGTCTCCCTTTACAGCTAGACAATTCTTATGTGAGCTGCCCATCTGGAAAGTCAAAGCAGTTCACTGGTACACTTTCTCAACCTTGAAATTCTATCTCTCTCTCCTTAAATATTCTGTTTTGCTTGGAAGGGAGAAATATGAGAACTAGTCCTGCAGGACATATGAACAGATGAAGAAAGATCCACATTGAAAGAAACCTGGGTAGGCTACTTCTAGCAAAAACATGTTGAGGCATAAAACAAACTGGTGCATGAAAGAGAGACCATTTTTTAGTGATTGGAAAGAGAGGCAGAGGGGGTGCTTCCCTAGCATGTGAGGCAATAGAAGAAGAATGAACAGCGGCAATTCTAAATCATGTCTGAATTCCACCTTCTACTCTTCTATTGACTTTAAAACATCAGCTTATACAAAGAATCTTTGGGGAGGGGAATGCACTAATCTTAACACCAAAACATTGTACTGTAGATTGTGCAAAGATTTTCCCCTGGCTTTCCTGGCAGCATTTCTAAGATGCATAAAAAGAGGAAAGATAGGTTTATTTAAAAAAAAATCTGCATGTATGAACAATCCCCTCCTTCTGATAACACTTTCTTCTCAGATGTCCCCAAAGAACAGAGACGTTGCCTACTTTGCTTCCTGAACAGCTCTCCCCAACCTGATGCCCTCTGGCCATACTGGCCTATAAACCCCAGAATAACCTAGCCTTGCTGTTGTAACCGAAGGGAGCAAGAGATCAGGCTGAGGGCAGGTTTTCCAGAACATCACAGAAAGGTGACATACTGAGCCCTGTTCTTGATATCAGATCTCTATCCATCAACCTTTCTTCTGTCTAAATGAAGTCCCCAGATACACCAAGCTTTCACTTCATTCTACTTGAAAGAAGGTCTACTTCGTTTTTATGAAAGATAGTGGATAGAGTGATAGACTGGAGCTCAGGAGAACTGGGCTCAAATTCCTGCTTGGTCATGGAATCTCATTGGAATGGGACTAGCAAAATAATAATAGTCTTCCACCAAACTACTCATTAAATATCTCACATACCTTCAAAACCCTATTAGAATCACTACAAGTTGCATGCCGCATGTAACTTACCTAATTTTTACACAACCCCACAGAGGTGAATCTTCTATATTATATAAAATCTCTAGTTTTTCATTGATAAAGTGGTTTCTAAACATAAAATACTCGGGAGTATGCTGCCTTTTTGCACATACGTTATTAACAGTACCACACATACTATGCAATTGTATGTACTGTAGTTCAAACTTAATGGAACCTACTCCCACTTAAGTGGGAGCCTGACACATGAAGCTGATCATGTTTTTCAAAAACAAGTATTATTCTGAAAATAATTCAGTAAAAGACATACTTGGAATACCAATGTTCTTTTAAAAAACTGATCTCTATTAAAGAATGAAACTATTGCAAATTACACTTATGGCAGTAACAGTCAATGATCTAGAGAGAATAGCATTGCAAGCTCTTTGAAAAGTTTCCCTTCATGTAAATATAACAATTGAAATGTTTCAGATATCATTATTTTTAATATCATATTCTTCAGATAACTAGTATTTTATTTTTCTGTATTGGGCACAACATTCATTAATGATTTTTTAAAAAAAATACTGATTTTACTGTGATAGCTTCTGACAACTGATCTGGCCAAATTTTCAGTTTAAACTGCTAATTTAAGAAACTATTCAGTTAAATTATAAAACTAGCCTCTTCTGCATATATATCATTGATCCAAGGTTAGCTGCATTCCATTTCTTGATCATCAGCTTCTTGCTCCAAAGGATATAGTTCATCCAATGCAAGTTCTGAAATAAAGTACATACATTTTTATGAGTGCAAAAATATTTAAATAATTGATGTATTAGTTCAGCATGACTTAAATGTGGATTATCAAGAGCAGTGGTTTCTAAGGGTCCCCAGATGTTTTTGGAGTAAAACTCTCAGAAGCCTTCATCGCTATCTGGGCTGACCAGGAATTCTGGGAGTTGCCAAGAACATCTGGGGACCTGAGGTTACGAACCACTGATCTAAAGTGAAATCCTTGTGCATCTATGAAGCCAGATCATAAACATTTAAAGATAACTGAATGTGGTTACAAAGACAATAGAAGAAAAAATGTTACATTCACTGAAAAAATCCTACAACAGGGTGAAATAATAAAAAGAAACTATGAATTAAAAACTGCACACAATTGACTGGGCAGCATGAATATATTAAAGCAAGGACGCACACACATATATTCAAATACTGATTATCAAAGTATATTTTCACGAGTTTCACAATAAACTCTAAGACCTGATTTTTATTTCAAAGGCTGATACAAAGGTGAGAATGCACCTAAAACCACACTGTTCTCAGACAGCTCCTGATAGGGAAAGTCTATAGATCAGGACCACAGCCCGTTGTTTAAAGGCAAAAGATCCCAGGGTTTGTGCGCTTAAACCCTTTCTAACTTACTGCTACAAGAGTGAAAAACAATGACACAAAGTGCCATGCAACTCCAAGTTAAAGATGTAGTGCTGTTACTTAAATGTGGCATGTGTTTAAATTCTTATGTTTTAATAAGGAAGAAAGAAATTTACCTTTGCTGTGCATGGACATTAGATTGGCACGAAACCAGCATGCAAGATTAACAAGTGTTACCGTCATAAGGTAAAAGGTAAAGGTTCCCCTTGATATTTTTTAGTCCAGTCGTGTCCAACTCTAGGAGGTGGTGCTCATACCATTTTCAAGCCGTTGAGCCAGCGCTTGTCCGAAGACAGTTTCCATTGCCACGTGGCCAGCATGACTAGGGAACACCGTTTTCACCTTCCCACCAAGGTGGTACCTATTTATCTACTCGCATTTTTACATGCTTTCGAACTGCTAGGTTGGCGAGGAGCTGGGACAAAGCGACGGGAGCTCCCTCCGTCACATGGATTCGATCTTATGACTGCTGGTCTTCTGACCTTGCAACCCAGAGGCTTCTGCAGTTTGCCCCACAGCGCCATCTCGTACCGTCACGATCAGTGCTAAAGAGAGCCTCCTTCCTCTGTTGTCATTCTCCCTTCTGATTCAGGGAGGCTTCTGGCACATGGCCAGCTGCTACTCCTCTACTTGTCAAAGTTAAAGTGTTTTTAAACTGCTTTTTAATTCACAAAAGCTGAACAAAATAGTCATCACCAAAACAGACCCACTAAATGAATGGGACCTTTGGCAATTCAACACATTAAAGTCCCATTGACTCAATAAGTCTAATTTTGGTTGGAACAAAAAACTGGATGTTGCCAATGGACAGAATCCTGTATGTCACTGCCTAACATGAAGTCCACAGGCACAACATTGCCAGGCACTGCACCTGGGCGACAGGAGTTGTGCAAGCTGACTGTACAATTGGCTGTGCTGTGCTGTTTTCCTTTGCTATCAGTTGTGCAATGCACCTGTGCAGGTGTCTCATGAAAAGCACTTCTCCCTGGATGCCATAACAGCTGCTTCTGGTGTAACACCAAGTTACACAGGCACAGCTACTCAGCAGGATTTCAGCCAGTGCTTTCATTTATAGTTTAATTGTGTCTTGCCAATATAATATTTTGTTTTATCTGTATCTATTTTTAATTGCCTAAGCAGGCTTGAGACCCAGTGCCTAGATAAGGGTAAGACAAAAATCAAATCAATCAAATTGACAGGATTAGAACTGCAACTGCTTGTACACCTACTGGGAAATAAATCCAACCAAGATCAGTACTCAATTATTTATTATTATTTATTTTATTTGTATGCCACCTTTCTCCTGATAAGGGGACTCAGTTGTTTTTCTCATCAAACACACAAAGAATAGGGTTGCAAGTTGTTTCAATAAAACATTCATTTCATGCAAGCAGCTTCACTAGAACACACGTTTCAGACAATTAGCCTCACCTTCACATGCTTTCAGATTTTCTGTTTTTCGGAGTATTGCTCTGAGGCCAGGCATGACATGATCATATTGATGGAGCACTTCCAGGCAATGTTCATGAAAGAGTTTGTCCCTTTGAGACAAACTGTGCAAGAGCAAAACAGTGCTCCGTAAAAACTGAATTATTTGCTTTGCTTGCACATCAAACAGCTTTCCTTCCACCTTTCTGACTGTCAGCCATTGTCTGTGTAACATTATGATTAGAGCCTTCACTACCTGCAGGAGAAAACACAGTTGAGTTCTCACATGGATTTGGAAGGGTTTCAATTTTTATTCCTGTCATTTTGTAAATGGTGGCATTACAATACTGATTTATAGAATATCGAAGAAAAGAAGGAATATTCAAAACCCACAATGCAAAATATTGAAGTGTTTTCTGATGGCAAAACTACACTGACAACACATCATGGAGACACTTATTTTCCAGTTTTAAATTTTTCAAAAAGCACTTGTGATCTTACTTATGCATAATGAGGATCCTTCTAGCTATGTGAACCCTTTACATCCATAACTTACCTCAGAGTTGCACTGGCAATCTGTTCCAACAAGTACAACAGAGAGACTGCAACACTGTACACACTTGGTCAGGAAGCGAACAGTCTAATATCATAAAAATTGCAGAGACAAAACAATGTAACATATAACAAAATAAAGGAAAGTTCTTGAAATTTGAGGCTAAAATGGTAATCCTATCCACATTTATTACATGTCAGCAACCCTTTTAAAAGCGTCCCACCCCACCTAAAAGAGCTGAAACCTCGGCTGCATAATTCATGCAGGGAAAGGCTGGCTCAAGTTACATGCAATTCATGTGAACTTTTGTTTTGTATGAATGTTCTAGTACAATGTTTTATTTTAAAAGGATAATCAATTGTTTGCCTTTTAGATTGGAAACTAAACAACTTGCTAAACTGATTCAAAAACAAAGAAATAAATATACGCTTCACCTCTTGTTCCAATTGTAGCCAAAGCATCTCAGATGCGGATTTATCTGGTCTTGATGTAATATACATGTATACCGCCAAAAGGAGACACGTTTCTGTAAAATAATTATATAAAGCATTGCACGTCGTCAGTTACTAATCTTACTGTAATACTTCAAAAATGACAGTAACATTATTTTGAAAAACACTATACTGTATTTCATTCGTTCCCTGGGCACTTCCTATGAACACTTAAAATGTTAAAAACAACATTTCAAATTCAGTTCAGAAATGGCAAAAATTCTGTTGCAGTTACATCTGCAAAAAAAATAGTGGCCTAATTTGCACTGATAAATTGCTGCTGATTATCAAGTCCCCCTTGGATTCTTCATTATGTGCCTGTCAGGTTGCTTGTTTTATGAGCAGGTTGCTTCTTTTATGAGCATTAAGATTCTTTGACTAAAATCCTGTTGCTTAGCCTAATAAATCGCACTAGAGAAGAACCATTGAATCAACAGAGATATTATGAGTCATCTCCTTCCAACATCCTGCAAAGCATACTATGGCAGAAAATGGAAGCTTCTAATAGCTATCTCTCTATGTGGACAAAAGTGAGCACTTCTGGTCTCCACAGTCTACTTAATTGTCAAGAGGACTCAAAACAATAGAAGTTCCGCCATTCTCCTTAGAATTGTTTGTACATCCTGGATTGACAACAGAGTAGGGTACGCCAGCCATTGGTAAGTAAGATGAAGTGCTGTCATACCAGTAACATGTACACCCGTTGTACAAACTGTCAGCTTCCCTTTAGAGTCCTGAAAAAGGCCCTGAAGTGGAACAAATGTTGGCAATGGCTCATGCTTCAAACTACTGTATGCTTCTCATGAAAAGTGTTGCCGAGAAAAGGATTTCACTGTTCATCCACATTCCTGGAATTCATATCAGTTTCTTCCCACTTGACAGGTAAGAGGCCCACTTGTCAAGGCACTGCGTAACATTCACATACAGCAATCTTTTTTAAAAAAAACAGGTTGGGCTTCTTAAAATTTATTTGATATCTTGCCTTGACTGAGACCCTCGGATGTTAAGAGACAGAAGGAAAAATTAAAACAAATGTCAAGTTGCCTTGAAGAAGAGAATGGCTAAGATACTGTTGCACAAATTACACTACGTAAGGCCAAGGAAGTGATTCGCTGTGGCTAATAAAATAAAAAGCATTAGGGGAACAGGTAGTTTCCTGAGAAGCATCCCCTATAGAGCCTAACGAACAGAGACACTACCATCCCTTCATGCTTGACTGTTCTCGTAAAGTTCAGAAAGCTCCACCCAGGTCCTTCTCCATGCTTAATTGCCATCTCTGCAGTGAGAACTTGGGTAAGGACCGAATGTGAATCCTGAAACTCCTTTGAGGGTGTGGATTGTTTTGGCTGAAGTTACCAGAATGCCTGCTGACTTCTGGTTGCAGGGAAAAATAGTCTGAACGTTGCATGCTCAGAATTCAGTGTTTTGCAAAAGCAGTAAGATAGCAGACATTTTAATTTTTCTCACCTGAACTTGAACAAAACTTAGCAGCAAGCTCCTGGCGTTCAGCAAGCAAAGTTAACAGGCGAACAGTCAGGTGGACAGCAAACAAAGGGTTTTCAGAAGACAGGCAGCGGAGCAGGGTCGGTGTTTGGGTATTCAATAAATGCTGAAAGCTTTTTAGAACAATAATATAAATTAGAAATTTTGAAAAGGCTATGATTTTTGATAGTTTACTACTATGAGGTGCACAAAAATAATAAAAGCACACACAGCAATCCTATGTAAGGTAACTTAGAAGGACAATCTACTCTGTGTAATTGGACTTACTCCCTAGTAAGTTCATTCATGAATGCAACCTCAGTATCTCCACAAAGACAAGCACATTGTTAAAGAGTCTGACAATAGCACACAGAATGTAATTTTCTCTTATACATTAAAACTCCACACAAGGAGAAAACATACTGGGAATTGTGCTAGGATTCGTATGTAAGTATGAAATGACTTCAGTGCGGTGGACGGGACATAAAGGCAAACCAGGAAATTTTCCTGCATAAGTCCAAGTGCAAGGAATAGATAAAACCATAACCTTTATTATAGTGACATATAATTCTTTTTTATTTCAAAAAATCTCATTAATTTTGAGGGGGAGTATGGTTTAGTAACCACTGTTAAAATTACTCATCCTGCCCACATGTGTGCAAACAACTGACAACCAACCTCACACCAAATGAAACGTTAACATTCTTGAAGACATCGTAAGATTCGTTGCCCTAAATTTCTATGTGCTTCAGAAACAACTGTTCCTCTAACCTCTAGTACTTTGCAGCTGTTACAGTGTATTATTTAACAAAACGAGCTTTTCTATTCTCAGACTGGATCAAATTCAGAATTCCAGTTAACACTGCTAACCATGTTGTTCAACTGAGTTATGGTGACTATTTTAAATGAGGACACGAAGCAAACAGTTATTTTGAACTCAAAGGTAACTTGAACTCTTCAAGCTGTATTTTACCTTAATAATAAGTCAACTGTTGACCTTTCAGCTAACTTCACCAAAACTCTGAGGCACTGATTCATGATGCCACCCCTCTGGCATCCTGTGGCACAGGAAGCTAAGAGCTGCAGCAGCTTTTTAAACAAAGGTTGTTGGGAACAGTCAACATTAACTATGTCCAGTTCGGGGTTGGGCTCCTGAGGATTAGCACTGCACTGCTTACTACAAGCAACAGTGGTGTCCTTCTCAGGAACTTCTGTGCATCCCGAACCACAATCCTGTTTCATTTTAGGGGAGAGTAGTGTACAAACAACTTCCCAGCTATAAAATACCAAATAATAAAGAATGCCCAGAGATGCAAGTGCAAATTCTTCCAGAGTAGGTAAAAAGTCATCTATGCTTGATGTTGCACTTGAGGAACTTCTAGAAGAATAAACAGATTGGTTTCCTGAGGAAGTGTTCCCAGCCTTCGCCATTAACAAGAGGGCTTCATGGTATGAAGTAATGTGATGTTCCAGAAGAGGAAGAAGGTATACTGCCCCTGGAATTTTATAGTATTTTGTGTGGGATACTCCTCTCTTGCTTTCTTCTGAGCTTTCTTCCAATGAACCTTCATCTACAGCAATCAAATTCAGTCCAGTCAGGGCAAGTTTTTGAGCAATTCTCATCGAAACCTCCTCTTCTTGACAGCTTGCAATCCTGTCACCGAAGTTTCTGGTAGATCCTCTAGGAAAAGAAGAGCAGAAAAATGGTACCATTTGCGTGACATCATGTGCATCTCCTGAAACTCTGAACATATATTGTATGCCAAGTAAATGATTTCAAAAATAATCTTATCCTTACTTTTTATTTAATCTAATCTGAGTCAATGCCTTCACCAACCTTCGTTGTCAAGGTTTGCAAAGAATAGCTCTCCTGGCTTATCTTACGGTTTCCTCTAGTGTAGAGGAAATCTGACTGACCAGTTTGGGAAACAAGAGTGTTACACCAGGTAGGACTCTGGTCTGATCAAAAAGAGCTCTTTTTGTGATTGAATTTGAGAGAAAATGTGTTTTGATTTGTAAAACAGATTTGAGTTATAATCCTAGGTTCCAATGATGCCAACTAAAATAGTGCCTGGATATATGCCTTTGCCAGGACTGCAACACCACATTAATGTTAGAGATATCAAGTGGCCAGTATATTGGTGCAAGTCTCCCAGTGGAAAGGCTAGACATGAGATGAGGTATGTTGGGGATGAAGGGGATTAATCTGAATCTTGAATTCCCTCAAATCCTCTTCTTGGCTACTATGGCAATTGAAAACTGCACAAATAAAAAAAGGCAGAACAAGTGAAAACATTCCCATTGAATTCAGCGCAGACTGGATAGCCCAGGTACATAAACTGTATATGGGGGTTATAGCTAGTTTCAGTACTGAGCTGCACTCAGCTCTGAGCCTGAACCCCTAGGTTTGGATTTTATACAGTTAAAGCTAATTACACCTGTTCCTGAGACGTCTGGTCTGGCCACCATGAGGGAGGCATCAATAAACCTGTTTAGATTACTATCATGTGCTCTGTGTACTGCAAAAAGTGGAAACTTTAGGTAGCCCGAAGGTCTGTGGCCACACTATGAACTGTGCCCAGCTGATATGTGACACATTTATTACAACACTTATTGGTGTTCGAAGTGTGGCTTATGATCTATAGAAAGCCGTACACTATGCATCCTTTTGAAATTATGTGCTTCAATTAAACTCCTTTATGATTTCCATCATATTTGTTTTATTCATATTACTGTTAAGTCACCTTGTGTCCTATTCTGAGAGGCAAAATAGACTAGACAATACATCTAACAAGTAAGTATGTTAATGTTAATTTATTTATTTTTTACCTTTTTATCTCAACCAAGACCAGCGTTCACAAAGAAAAACCCTTAAAACTATGTTGGCTATCCTAATTTGCATCACATGCTAAAAATAAGTGAAGAAGCATGCCATGCTTACCAAATAACAACTCTTAAGTAAGAAAAAATCACAGTGAAACTTTAAAATCTTTTGCTTCATTCATTCAAAATAAAAGGCAAAACATAAATATTCCAGGTTTCTTTCTGTAGGTCATACAAATTTTACCTAACGTTGTAAATAATTTTTCAGTTTTTCTCTGGCAATCAGCAAGAGGCAGAATTTTTTTTAAAAAACTTCCATAAAATGTTTTTAACACATGTTTCTCTCAAAGTATTTCATCCTTATTCCATCTAACAACAAATTCAGATGGTAGAGTAAGGCTGCAACTTTGGAAGTAATGCAGATCCACCCAAAATAAGGTCAATATTCCTACATACAAGAGACCTCCAAAGGTACAGGGACATTTGTAAACTGAAAGGGGGAAAAATCCTCCAAAATAAACATCTGAGACATTCAAAAAATTTAGAATCATGGTAGTTTTTTTAAAAATGTAATTAAAAGGTAGGGAGAAAGGTTTGAAAGAACCAGCAATCAGCTGCAAGTCTATTCTTTACATCTTTGGGTGCTAGTCGTGACAACAGAACCTTGTCAACTGAGGTGGAAAAAAGAAGGAAGATGGGGTTGGTTAAACACACAGTATTAATATTTACTATATATTTCATAACTGAGTACAAAGGTCTTAGCTGTTTAAACCCTGAGCAACATATTGTGAAAATCCTGTAAGGAGGCTTTGTATTTACAGAAGCAAGAGCATGTAATGGGAGTTTAAAAAGCTCCTTCCACCTATATTAGTTTCCTACTACCATAAAGCACAGTAAAGGGAAAGATGAGTGGGGGGGGAGGTGAGGCATCTTTTCTCCCTTGCTGCCCCTCCTAAAACTCTCCAGTCTCCACAGGGCGACAGCTGAACAGGAGTAGCACAAGGCTCATTTTCTAGGCTGTTCAGAATATGGAACAGAATGAGTCCTCAAACCAAGAAATCTACAGATCCCACTTGATTCTTCCAAGGCCAATATTCTACTGAGAAGAGCGCTAACTTTTTTTTTTCAACTGCATTGCAAAAGCACAAGTTTATAATAAAAGATTACCACATTTCTCCAAAAGAGTATATTGTTTTCTTTGGAGTATGTTAAATATACATGTCTTTGGTTGGTTAAAACCTACATATTGAAAGAAGTCGACTGTGTGACGGGAGCAGGCCATTCTTCAATGTTACGGCTAAGAAGGTGACAGAGTCCTAGAGATGATCCCGGAATAACAGGTTGCTTCATCAGGGCACTTATCAAAAGGGAGCCTGCAACAATAGAGGAATCCGGTGTTCAACACATGCATTGAAACAGGAACTGGAATGTGAGGGAAAGAGAAAACCCACAAGCTCCAGATTTGCTATATATTCCATGACTGAATACTAATGCTTCAAGTATTAGAAGAGTCTCATCTGCACATATCCATAAGCAGAGCAGTGTAGACAAGGCATACACACTTTCCCTCTTCTAGAGCTATTTGACGGGGAGGGGGGAAGGAACCAAGCCCATTAAGACCCACTTCATTTTGAAAGGTGCTTTTGTGGAATGATGCCTACCTAGTTCATTCATCGGATTGAACACTACGTTGCCATTTTGTCTTACTATTGGTGTTCAACAGGGGTGGGGAGATTTTTAGACCTAAAAAAGTCATCCACACTCATGCATGCTTTCTGGGGCTAATGGGACTGAAGAGTCCAGCAAAAATTTGAAGGCCATAAATTCTCCATCCCTTCTGTAAGGAAATGTGATAGGTCTCAAACTTGATGTGGCAATTTTGAGACTGTTTCGGCTGTCTTCAAAACATGAAACAGGTTCCATGTAAAAGAGAAGCAGACTCATATGCTGTCATACTTATTTAGTGAAACTTTAAGCCAAACTAAAAAAAATGCATCTATACTTAGAAAACGCCAGGTGCAACACAGAAAAGATGACTCATTATAGACAGTCATTACCTTGTCTGCTCTAAGCACAATCAGCCACAAATTACAGAAAATTAACAAACTAACAAAATTGGCTTGGGGAGAGTTAGGGGAGAGTTAAAATCAATTTCAGACTACCTCATTCAAAATGCTAACTTTTTAATTCAGGTTTTCAATTCACCCTTTAGAAGGGGAACTGGTCAAGCAGTTGGTTTTTAATCAATCCTCAGATGTCACTAATATGTCTATTCATCAGCTATAACAACCTTAGTTAGCTTGGTCTGAAACCAATAAAATAATATTATCAATATTCAGTGTGCCTGGAAGTTGTATTGTGAATATTAGACCAAATATGTCATTAATCTATCCTGTTAAGCGGTCAGCTCTGGTTAATTCAATCATAT